ATCTACTCACACAGATTATAACCATTTGCCCTCAAAATTAGGTTTCGGTTTAGTTGTATCTGTGTTACCACTTTGCAAAATTTCATTTTTCCTTAGAGGTTTTGCCCACAAAATGCCCCCATGTCAGTATAGACTGCAAATGGGGTTTATTTAAGATTCAACCACAGCTTATCCTGCCAAGCCATTTACAATACCACCTTATTTAACTATTCAGATTAACCTTGTCAAAACTGCCACTTCTAACAAGTTGTGTGCTGATGAATGTTTAACAACTAGCTCTCTGAAGGAAAATTACAACAGTAATAACAACAAACCCTGATTTGTAGTGTTTGCCAATTTTCCTGGTGTAAATACTCCTACAATGGCAAATTTCAAGTTACCAATGTGATATTAGTGAATGCAAAAAAAGGAAGAAATGTGGACAGTTGATTCTCATGAATAAGCTTGTATGAACTGGCACCAGCCCCCCACTCCTTCTAACACACATGCACACTTTGATGCTTTAATCATAGCAGAGTGCCTATGATTTCATAAATACAATAGCACTTGCAAGCCTCCCTGCTTTTGCTTCTGCTGTTACTTTAGCCCAAAATACCCACCCTCATGTGCATCAGGCAAACCCCTACTTAACCTCTAAGGTCCAGGAAAAATGTTACCTCTTCAGAGTTTTGCTATTTCCCTCTAAGGGAAGAATTAATTACTCCCTTCTTAAAACGCAACTTTATTGAAATATCGTCCACATGTAAAAATTGTATACATTTAAGGTGTACAACTTGGTGTTTCAGTATATGCACACATTGTGAAAAGATCAAGTTAAACGACTTATCCATTGCCTCTTCGTAGTTACCATTGTGTGTGTATATTTGTATGTAGTGAGAATACTTAATTTAAGATCTATCTTCCTTGCAAATTCCAAGTGCACAATACAGTATTAACTATCGTGACCAGGTTGTACATTAGATCTCAGAACTCACTCATCTCGTGTTACTGAAACTTTGTATCCTTATGCCAGTATCTTCTCATTTCCCTCTTGTATACTCTGACCCTGGCAATCACTACTCTACTCTCTGTTTCTATTAGTTTGACTATTTTAGATCTCACGTGTACGTTAGATCATGCAATATTTGCTTTTCTGTGTCTGGTTTAATTCCCCCCCCCCTTTTTTTTTTAAAGATTTTATTTATTTATTTGAGAGAGAGAGAATGAGAGACAGAGAGCACGAGAGGGAAGAGGGCAGAGGGAGAAGCAGACCCCCTGCTGAGCAGGGAGCCCGATGTGGGACTCGATCCCGGGACTCCAGGATCATGACCTGAGCCGAAGGCAGTCGCTTAACCAACTGAGCCACCCAGGCGCCCGTAATTCCCCCTTTTTCTGTGTTCACTTAGCACTTTAGTAATACTTTAATTAAACACTATCACACTGCCTATGTGTGTATGTATTTATGTACGCCTAGCATAGTTCCTGGCACATTGTAAGCAATCAATACATTTATATTGCATTAGCCAGAAAAAAAATAAAAATATCATGCTTGGAGACAGGAATGCAAAAAAATGATGTGTCACCCAATGATTACAGGCCACTGTTAATATGGAATTTTAGAGAGAAAGATTAGAATTGAGTGAGAGAGGGTCTGAATGCAAGGGGAAGGAAATTGGACCTTATTCCTTAACCACTGTTTATGGAGGAGAGAATAACTGGCAAAAAAAAAAAAAGGTATTACAACATAATTCCTCTGACACCAGTTTGTGGGACAGGTCAAGGGAGGGAAGAGAACCGTAATCTAGATCTAGATGCTGGAGATTAGAGATGGGATGGTGATGGGAAAATGAAAGCATCTACTGTAAAAGGCACTATGAAGAAGACACAAAAAGATTTTGTGAGTACCAATGGAGGCACTCTAAAGTGTGTAAGCCCAGGAACTAGGTGAAAAATAGTATTTGGGGGAGAGATATTAGTTTGTGAATATGGATAAGCCCTTTGTTTGCACATACGCTAAGTGTGATATGATAGAAAAACTTCCAAGTAGAAACGTTCAGTAGGCAGCTAGAGATTTTTGTAGAAATGAATTCAGAAGAGTGTTCTAGACCAGTAGTCAGAGACCCATCTATCCAGAGATAATAGATAAAGTCTTGATGGAGGGATAAATCTTGACTAAATATAATTAAAAAAATAAGATCTAAATCTTTGAGTAAATTGACATTTAGGGGATGCGAAGAGGAAGTGCAACCAGTAAAGGGGAGATAAAGAAAAATCAGCAAGTGTCAAGGACACTGAAGTGAGAAAAGGTGTGAAGTACTCTGTGGCCAGATGTGCTGAGTACTGAAAAGAGGCCAAGTAAGGCATAAACTGAAGAAAGACTACTGCTTTTCACAACTGGGTTAAAGGATTCTTGGAGGGTTCTAATGCAATGGGACGTACAGAAATTGCATTGCTTTGAGTTAAGGACAGCAAAGAAATGGAGAGAAAAACTATAGACATATTTGATAGTGAGGTAGGAGAAGAGGAAGCAAGATGTGGGAACGTTTTTTGTTGTTGTTAAGCTGGAGGAGACTTAGGTACATTAGAAAAGAAAGATCCAGTGTTGGAGAAAAGATTGAGAAAGGAAAGAGAGATGGAAAAAGATTCTTTTTTTTTTTTAAAGATTTATTTATTTGAGAGAGAGAAAGCAGGGGGAGGGGCAAAGGAGAGAGAGAACCCCAAGCGGATTCCCTGCTGAGCACAGAGCCTGCCCCAGGGCTCGATCCCAGGACCCTGAGATCATGACCTGAGCCAAAATCAAGAGTCAGACACTTAACCAACTGAGCCACTCAGGCGCCCTGGAAAAAGATTCTTGAGAAAGCAAAAGAAAATGATAAGGCCAAAGGAACAATTGCAGGGACTAATATTAGGCTGGAGGATAATCACCTTTTCCTTTCTACGAGACCCTTGAGAAAGAAGCCAGGAGAGGAGAAAATATTTTTCAGTGCAGGAGAGGGTATAGTTATTAGGGGAAAAAAAATCCTTTTGATAATCTACCTGCATCCAAACTTAGTCTGCCTGCCAAGTCGTCACAATCATTGTTTAATGGAAAGGCTTCCCCTAAAGGGAGCAGGTGTGATTGGAACCAGTTCAAGTGTGAAGGAGCTGACGCTTCCTTTGGCAAGCTCCTGCCTTTCTTCTCACTCTTTTTTTCTACCACATCCTGCAGGTGCCCAGTGGCCCCCCACTGGGGAACTGCATCCAGTTCTGCTCCCTGGGGACATTTCTCAAAACTGTACTTATTAAAATTTTAGGTCACTGTTTTTTGCCTATCTATCAAGAAAATTTTGATAAAATGTTGGGTGTCCTAGCAGCTGAATTATTATCACTCCCGTGCCTGGTTCTTTCCTCCAAAGGATTCTCTGTAACAAAATCTTTGTCCCAAAGAAGGAGTAGAGTTTCCAGTACTGAAGTAGTCCACTTTTGGTTGCTTTCTGGGTAAAGAGGACCCTGACAAGGTTCCCTGCAAAATTATATCATCTGGTTGAAATGGACATCGCCTTGAGGGACCACCAGCCCATAGAGGGGTGGTTGAACGGGAGTAGGCATTAGAGTACAGGAATGATGATTTGGCTGACACATAACAGTTCTGACTAAATGATGACCAAATATTAATAAGAAGAAGTGTTACAAATTATTGCTAACAGTTTTTTCTCTAATACCTGTTTTATGAAAGAAAATAAGATGGGTGGGAAATTTCAGGTAAGAGCAAGGCCTGTATTAGTAGTCAGGGTTTTTCAAAGAAACAAAAGCAGTAGGATGAATAGCTAGATGATAGATAGATGATGATAGATAGATAGATAGATAGATAGATAGATAGATAGATAGATATAGATAGATAGATGATAGATAATAGATTATTTCAAGGAATTGGCTTTACATAACTGTGTTTTGGGCTGGTAGTCAGGCTGGAACTCTCTGGCAGAGCTGATGCTGCAGTCTCGGGCAGAATTTCTTCTTCAGGGAAACCTTACTTTTGCTCTGAAGACCCTTCAACTGAATGGATGAGGACCACTCATCTTATTGAGGAAAATCTCCTTTACTTAAAGTCAACTGATTGTAGCTATTAAGCATATCTACAAAGTACCTTCATAGCAATACCTAATATTTGATTGAATAACTGGGTATGGTAACTTAGCCAAGCTGACATGTAAAACCAACCATCACAGGGCTTAAGCAATGACTTGTAAGAATAAGGATGTGTTAGGGAAGGTTTTAAATGAATGGTTGTGTTGCATTATCTCCATACCTTCACACATTTGCTATAAATAAGTGATGCTTTAGGGATAGCCAGGACAAGAGGCTCGGGTTAGATCTGAGTAAAGAGAAGAGGTTAACCACTGGAGGAGAAATATGAAGGATTTGGAGGATGCAGCAAATTCAAGAAATAAAATAAAGAGTTATTTCAAAGAAAAGATTAGAGCCCAGGAATCTCCATGGAGGATTCCCATGAGTATTCATGGGATGGTTTCAAACCACTTTTATTTAAGCATCCAAGAAAGAGTGACCTCACAATAGTGGAAGATTTGGGGATAGATTTGTCACCCAGATGAGTGAAACTTAAGTTACCTAGAGAAGAATAAACTTGATGAATGAAACAATGCTCCTTCCATCTGTAATATTTGCTTCTTTTGTGTTGATTCCTTTCTTTTTTTTTTAAAGATTTTATTTATTTGTTTGACAGAGAGATAGAGAGAGAGCACAAGTAAGCAGAGCATCAGGCAGAGGGAGAGGGAGAAGCAGGCTCCCTGCTGAGCAGGCAGCCCAATGTGGGGCTCGATCCCAGGACCTGGAGATCATGACCTGCGCCAAAGGCAGATGCTTAACCGACTGAGCCACCCAGGTGCCCCATGTGTTGATTCATTTCTTTGGTATATGAATTATTTCTTAAATTTAGGATGTAAAACCAGATATCGCCACATCAACAACTGATCAAAATTAGCATCAATTTTCCTATTAATTTATTAAACTATGCAGACTTGAGTAAGACATGTGGCTTATTAGGAGGAGGAGAAAGAGCTAACATTTGTTGTATGCTTACGACATGCCAAGCCACCTCACTAATTTCCTTACTCTCATTTTCTCCTCAGGAGGGCTCTTTAAGTTAGGTATAATTATCTTGATTTTGCATATAAGGAAGCAGGATTGAAGAGGTTAGAGATAATACCAATGATAAATGGAAGTGTTCAAAATGAACTTAGGTCTGAGTGTAGGGCCTCCAAAGTCCAAATTCTCAACCAATGCGCTGAGGTGCCATTCCAGAGACCGTTGTTTCTGGAAGAGTTCCCACATGTGTTCCTTGGTGTCTTGGCATGCCATCGACCGGACTTCGGGACAACCTGGGAAGATCAGGAGAAGTTGGAGCTGGAGCTGGAACTGGGGTGCTAGGCCAGGAACCCCACATCAGCTAGATCTAGCACCATCTTCATCAAGAACATGTTGCTTTCCAGTCCTCAAAATATATATATATACATATATAAAAGCATCATTTTAGATCATTCACTCCAGGCATCTCTTAGACAACCTAGTGACTGCTTTTCTTAAATTAGCAATTATGATCAAAAGGACTCAATGTGGTTTATGGTTTGGTGACTGAGATTTGCTCACAGTGCAGAGGACTCCCCCATTTAACATGAAGATCGCCTAATAAGTGGGGCCAACTTCAGGTTTAAGTAAGATAAATGTTCTCTGAATAAGTGGCCTGGGGCAAAGTGAACTAATTTTTAGACTGTTTCATCTTAGGCTGCCTATAGAAGTCTAGTCATAAATCAGAGCCTATCCTTACTGGAATTCTTTATAAAGGTAGATATAGGACATAAGCATCAGCTTCCATTATATTAGGTAGTATAATCCAAAAATCAAAACATAAAGGGTCTTCAAGTGTTATCAAATCTATTAAGTCCAAAATAGTTCATTGATGACCAATTTCCACGTGCTTAAATGGTGCAACTGCATCTTAGCTTATGTGAAAATCAATGCAAAGACATGAATCACCAGGGAGTATGCTGGAGCCTTCCAAAGACAATTTGTAATTAGCAAACCATCGATCCAAATAGACAAGACCCCGAAAGCTACAGAGACCAGGCAGGTGAAAAGCCAGAGTCCCTGTCCTTTGCAATTAATCATTACTGCTCTGCTCCCTCCCAGCACCACATAAGGGACTTCCATCCAGAATGTAATGTTGGCATTTCAGTTGATTTTGGGTGATAACTCAACTGTGGCACCAAAGAGAAATATGTATGGTATTAAAGGGAACTCATTACATAACTTGTACATGCTCCATTTTAAGGCCAACCCCATTATCATTAATATTTCCCAGTATCTTTTTTTTCCACCACACCATATTCTGGTCAATATCATATAAATCCAAAGGAAGATTATAATTCATAGAATCACAGAATCTTGGAACGAAAAGAAGAGGTCATTTCATCTAACCACTTCATATACAGAGGTGATGAGGCAACTTGTCTCAAGTACTGAGTGGAAGATACGAGCCTAGAATCATGGTTTTATTCTCATATGGTGTACTTCCCACCACGTCTTATAGACTAATAGCACAAGAGGTTTAACCTGGTGGTCTGAATCTTTTATCTTAAAGTAATTGATCTAACTTTTAATTACACCACTCTCCAAAAAGAGCTATGACCTTCTCTAAGAGAAGGCTCTAGTTAGGTCTGGAAACATGCCATGAACCTGACATGCATTTGTAGTTTGTAGACTAACAAAGAATTCCCATCTTCTTTTTTTTCCATATTCAAACTATTGTATAGATTCCACCTGAGGCCAAACTTTCTACTGTTCACTAATATCCATTTTCCCTCTTGGGAAGTTGTGCTTCATCATCTCTTTGAAGATAGGCAATGTCATGACTACTTCCTGGTCAGTTAGGGGACTTGTTGATTTCAGTCAGAAAGGACATGTGTCACATTTAGGCCAAATCATTTTATTGCTGGTGTGAGACCCTGAACCTTTCCCTTTCCCTGTCTTTCTAATCCAGACCCTATACATCAAAATAGCCTGTCCATCCTCATGGTCCCTGAGTGACTCTAATGAGCAGAGCTGACCAGTATTGGGTATGTAGTGTGAGCCACTGATCTTTTGGGGGCCATTTGCTATGGCAAAATTACCAGTCCTATCCTGACTAATACAATAGTATTTGACCAAATCAAGCTTTTCTTGATTTGTTATGGGATTTGAAACATGTAGACCCACACTCACAATTTAGCTAGACAAAGAAATATGTTGAATGATGCACACTCAGGCAAGATAAGAATCATTACTTTTTTCTTTGTGTATATACCTTGAAAGTGCAATGGAACTCATTTATTCATCTAATATAATATTATTGCATACTTTTGGAAACTAACTTGACTACAGATAATTATTTATCTGGATTATAATTACATATATAACCAGGGTTATTAACATATGATTTTGTGTATAAGTATGATATGTCTTTAAAAATCAGTGTAAGTAGTGTTGAGAGTAAAACTAATTGGGGGAGGGGAAAACTGAGTGTGGAGCCAGCAATTCCACAATAGTTACCTGAGAACACTATGGGGATAATTATTATTGAGTCAGTCAAATATTCCAGCAGCCTGGTCACAGCAGGAATCAATGCATACCTCTGTTTTCAGTATCAAGGGATCATCTCAAAATCATCAACATTTGTGAAGTGTGTAAATGCAAAACGACTTGAGTTTAACCCCTCAGGGGCCTTGATAGGGTTCCCTGGGCACTTTTTTTTTTTTTCAAAATAAAATACAACTTTATTCAGATTAAAGCAACATTGTGATCTTTGTAAGAAAAAATGATCTTTTCTGAGAAGCAGAGGGGGATCTTTTTAAAACTACATTTCATTAGTATAAAATAGAAATACAAATATAGTTACACACTTTGCCTCTCTTTCTCTCTCTCTGTCTCATTCTGTCTCTCACACTCCTGTTCTCCACTCCTTATAAGGTACATCTTGCTCCACCAGACAAATCCTATCATGGGGAAACAACTCCAGGTGCCTAATGGATACGTTTATATCAGATTTCTTCATCTTTGAACCTAATAATCATTGAGCCGTTTTTGAAGCAGTGGGCCAACCAGAGTTCAAAGACCAGTGGTCAGAAATTCCAGAGGTTCCAGGACACTTCTGGGCAGAGCAGAAACTTCCCAGAAAACTAACTGAAGCCTCTAGCATGTAGAGCAGCGCACTGCAGCATGTGGTCCCCGGATCTGCAGCATGAGCACCTGTGAGTTGGTAGGAAATTCAAAGGCTCAGGCCCCATTCCAGACCTACTAACTCAGAATTCTTAGAGAAGGGCCCAGGGCTATGTGTTTTAACAATTTCTCCAACCAAAGTTTGAGAATAATTTGTGTAGAGTTTCTAGTCAGCCTCCATGCATTTCTGTGCATTTCTACTTTCATCTGGAACTCAGATAGCCGGCATCTTTAGGACCAGCAGATATTTGAGTGTACATTATTCAGCTCTTCTGAAGCCTCTGTCCAATTAGAACCTATTGATGGTAGTACTGATAGTGGCTTCTGTTTTGTAGGTTGAGGAAATGCCAGGCAATTGCCTTTTCTTAGATAATTCCAAGATTAACAGGCTCACGTTGCTCAGATTAGCAGCACTTCCCACCCCGCAGCCAGCTAGAGAGGGAACACGCTGTCCTCTCTGCGGGCCAAGGGGCTCGCTTCCCAGCCATCAGTTTGGGCAGGAGAGATGCTGATCAACATAAGTCACTGCCTGTTCCCAGATTGTCACCATTACCCAACCAGTGAGACATTCCATCCTGGTGCTCAAGCAATGCTCTGCTGGTTTGCCTGGCTCGAGCTGTGGATGGGCAACTGCATCACCAGTTGCAAAGGACATTCTGTTCAAAAGGGAGCAGGCAGACAGGGAAAATCCTTCCCACCTGATTTCAGAAGGAAATGTCAGTGCAGTAAAGCAGTCATTCACAGAGAGCAGGAGTGAGATGAGCAAGAACCTTCTTATACATCCCTTGAAAATCCAGCTGGACTTGGAAGTACTTAATGTGTTTCCCAGGAGAGGTCGCCATGGGGACACCTGTCCTCCTGGGGAGAAGGAGAGTGGTGGGAGAAGCTACCTTCATTTCATCTTACTCCATTTTACACTGCCTGAATTTTTGTTTTGTACAATTTGGAGCTAGCGTCAGTGTGCATAAGTTGCAGGAAGCCTTCAAAAGGAAACAGGTAAATGTAATGAATAGCTGCCCTCAGTAGCAAAAACACCTTCCACAGTGGCGATGGATTCCACTCCAAAATCTGCCACAGGCAGTGATAGCAATACAGGTGACCATAGGTTCTCCCTCTCTTAAAGAAAATAACATGAAGACATTTTTACATGATAGTTGTTTGAAAAGAATGTTGCTCGTTTTAAAGCCTCTGGCCATAAGATAAAATAGAATCCAAGTGTTCATGTATGCAAACGTGACCCTCCTAAAATACCCAGTTTTGCCCAGTTCTGTTAAAATGGCTTAATTCTGTCCAATCCCATCAGATGAGATTCAGAATGGTTGTACTAGAAACAATAGCAAAAAATGTTTTGCTACAAAAGTAGCAATGGCAAAAGTCTGGTTCCCTCTCCAGCCTCTCAAAAAAAATTATCCAGGCTGCCCATTATAACACCTGCTGCTCACAATGAAAGCCCAAGCCAAACAACTCATGCCCTTCCATCCAAATATCCAATCTACCCGCAGAGAATTCAAGCTGTCCAGCCACACACCAGCTGCTTGCTTAGTCACTGCAGAATGCTCAACTTCCACTCTCTCATCTCTCCTCATGTTTGTTCTCTCGGTTTCCCTCCCCTCCGCCTCTTCCATGAAAAAAGAGTTGTTAACACAGTCTAAGAATCCCCCCAAGAACCCTTGAACCAAGACTTGGGGTGCTTTGAGCAAGGAACATAGAATTTTGACCTTCCTTTTCACCCTCCCCTTCTACTTCTAGTATGATTCTAAACTGACCATTTATAAAATATAAGGGAGAACCAGCAGGTTCTACCCAGTGCTTAGGGACAACCGTGATTCTTTGATCGGACAACTCATGGAATGGGATGAGCTGTGGTCCAACCTCACTAATCTACCTTTATCCTATTTCCCAATTACAAGATGAAGGAATGGCTTTGATGATCTCAAAAAACGCATTAGGAAGTTCCATTGTCTTTTTTGCCATTTGGCTTTCTCAGTGCTTAAGTCACAGAAATAGTTTTCTGCTCTGCCTTGTCTTGAGTCATGACTTGTCCTACCTTATAGATGTATTTTAAAAATAACACAGATAAACCTTAAAAAAACCAATTGTATTTTCTCATGAAAGTGTATTTTTATTTCAGAGGCTCTTTGACTTTGTTGGTGATTGATTATTGGACAGTGTGGTTCTTAACATTTTAATTTTAAATGCATTCTCTTTGTGCAATGACACACACTGGTCTGGCAAACCCAGATGCTTATAGTGCCCTCAGCACTGATCTTTATTGATATAGAATCTTTATGATTCTGTGTTATAAATAATCACTCCTAGCTAATCATGTTTGCCTGCCAACATGGTGGCTTTCTGATAGCTCTCATAATGCACCATGAGACTTCCATGTCTGTACCCTTATCTGGGAAAGCTCAACCAAAGGGAGCTGAAATGCAGTGCTAACTTTACTGGCCAAGCCAGGTAGCCCAGTGGAAGGACATCCCTTAAAATTCAACTCTTCAGAGCAGGGGGTCTTTTTGCAGTTGATACAGAGATTCTGTATGTGCTGGCAGAGGCCCCTGGACCTGAAACATCCTTATTCTAGCCTTTAGCAAGTCCGGTTCTTTTCCACCTTTCAGATCTCACCCCTCAGAGAAGCTCTCACTGACCATAGTATTTAAACCCCTTCCTCATTCCAAGCACACACTCTTTCCGTGATACTCTCTGTCATCCACTATGTAATTCTTAGCAGCAAAACAAAGCAATGATAAGTTTGTGGCAGATTTTATTACTGACCAGTTTTTTTTACCCTTCCCTGTATCCAGGGACTTCTCTGTGTAACTTTCCAGTCTCTTCCCATCTGGCCCTTGTTATTCCCCTTAACCAATAGAATGAGGCAGACATATATTCACAAATGCACATTTCAAGTCTCTGTTTGCATTAGTTTAATAGCATCCCATTGGCCAAATCAAATTACATGGCCAATCCAAAAGTCAACAGGAAGGGAGGTGGAAGGAAATGCAAAAATACCTGGCAAAAGATGTAGTCAGGGAGGCGTAAGCAACAGGTGCCAATAACTCAGTATACTGCATTGGGCAATTTCCACCGATTGCGTGTGGTCTCCTGGAACACCGTGTTGAGAAGGATTCCGAAGTTTCAAGGGAGCTCATTTCAGTTTCAACTGGACTTACTGAAAGGTGGGCCATGATTAAAATTTGCCATGCTTCTCACAGTCTCCCATATATCTGATGACATAAGCAAAAAGCTGTAGAGAAAGTTAGAATCAGATTAGGGGAATCAAGAAAGCAAATATTTGTCAACGATCCCAGAGCTTAAGAAACATCACTGGTCAGTAGCTCTGTCTAGTGTACTATACCACTTATTTGTTTTCCTTTTCACTGTTCTAAAGTCTGTGTTTGGGAGACCACTGGCTATATTTGCTATAGTGAGATGCTTATGTTTCCCTCTCTTAAGAACTGAGAATACGGGCGCCTGGGTGGCTCAGTTGGTTAAGCGGCTGCCTTCGGCTCAGGTCATGATCCCGGGGTCCTGGGATCGAGTCCCGCATCGGGCTCCCTGCTCTGCGGGGAGCCTGCTTCTCCCTCTCCCCCTCCCCCTGCTTGTGTTCCCTCTCTCGCTGTGTCTCTCTCTGTCAAATAAATAAATAAAATCTTTAAAAAAAAAAAAAAGAACTGAGAATGCTAAGGAGAATAGAAAGGTGGCAGATCAGTGTGGGGCAGGGGGGGTGGGGGATGCAAATGTTGGGATAAAAGGAGCTTAATTTTTTGCAAGGCTAACTCTGGAATTGGTTTCAAAAAGTCCATTGTTTTTCTCCTATAACTTGGGTTCATCAAAAGATTTCTCCTGTGTGGGCTCCTTATTAAAGTTTGTTGATAATTTGCTTAAAAGCCTAAGAAAATGGCTGGCAAAGAAGTTTTGGCTTATAGCTTTATTTCTATCACACCACTATTTGAACACCCACACGAAATCTATTGTCTACTCCCCAAATTGTCTAAACCTTCAAGTACCATCAAGTTGTTTGTTTTTATTTAATGTCTGTCTCTAATAAAAATTCTGCATAATTGGAAATGCTGAGCTTCTGGTCTGGAGGAGCTACAGATTCCCTACTCACTGTAGTGGCTTTTGTATATGCTGAGGAGAGCAGCCTTTCCATATTTTTGTTTCCCGAGAAAGACAATGTATTTGACCAACTACAGATGGTCTCCGACTTAAGATGTTTCAACTTGAGACTTTCTGACTTTACAGTGGTGTAAAAGTGATACAAATTCCATAGAAACTGTACTTTGAATTTTGAACTGTGATCTTCTCCCTGGCTGGTGATATGCAGTACAATCTTCTCTCCTGATGTTGGGCAGTGGCCCCAGCCGCAACTCCCAGTGAGCCACGCCATCATGAAAGTAAACAACTGATACACTTCCAACCATTCTGTTCTCATTCTACCATTCTGTTTTTCACTCTCAGTACAGTATTCAATCAATTACCTGAGGTATTTAACACTTTATTATCAAGTAGGCTTTGTGTTAGATGATTTCCCCCAACTGTAGGCCAATGTAAGTGTTCTGAGCATGTTTAAGGTAGGCTAAACTAAATTCTGATATTCGGTAGATAAGGTGTATTAAATGTGTTTCAACGTATGATATTTTCAATGTACTCACTCATAATGGGATTATCTGGACATAACCCCATTGTAAGTTGAGGAAGACCTGTATAGTGATTATAGTTGCCATTATAGAGGAAAAGAGCAGAAGGAAAATTAAATCAAGAACAGCCCTGAAGCATAGAGTTCAGAAACCATTGACATAGTAAAGGGATGACTTCATCTCCTTTCTCCTGCACACCTATACTCCTCATTTCAGTGAATATTGTCACAGTCTGCCCAGTTTCCCTAGACACAACACAAGAGTCATTCTTAATGTTCCTTCTTCCTCAAATTTCAGGTCCAAGTAGCCTCCAAGTCAAGCCAATTCCATTTTCTCAAGAGGTTTCAGATCTGTCATGTGTCTCTCTCTGTCCATTCCCACCCTCTGAGTTGAGATCATCCCACCTTTCATCCACGTTATTGCCTAGTCTCCTAACTGGTCTCCCGGTTCCCAGTCATGCTCACCCAACTGTAATCCATTTCCAAACAGCCAAAGTGATTTTCTTTTTTTCTGTTTTTTGTTTGTTTTTTGTTTTGTTTTGTTTAGAGAAGAAGAGAGATGGGTGGGGAGGAGGGACAGAGGGAGAGAGAGAGAATCTTAAGCAGGCTTCACACCCAGCATGGAGCCCAATGTGGGGCTCGATCTTACAACCTTGAGATCATGACTTGAACCAAAATCAAGAGTTGGATACTTAACCCACTGAGCCACCCAGGTGCCCCCAGCAAAAGTGATTTTTCTAAGGAACAGTTCTGATCAAGATGCTTGCCTGAATGTTTCAACCTTGCCACCATTCTTAAAAAAAATGAAATTCTATAACTTGGCTCCCAAGATTACCTACCATGTCTCTTTTCTGGCCACTATCTCTACATGATTCAGAAAAATTTTTGGTTCTCTGAACCCACTGTGCTCTTTCCAGGATTTTGCTTAGATTATTCCCTCACCCTGAAATACTTGTCACTCACCATCACCTGGCTAATTCCTATCAAGTCATGGTGCAGGCTTCCCTGTATCCCTAATGCCCTAAGATGGGTTGGGTGACTCTGTTACATGCTTTCTTGAAGCTTCTCCTGTGGAGCTCTGGCCACACTAGATTGATAATTGCAGTCTATCTGATATGAGGGCCCTATTGTCCTATAAGCTCCAGGATGGCAGTGTCTGTGCCTGGCTTGTTTATGATTGTATTTAGCCATCTAGCAAATTGTTTAGCACATATTAGACATTCAATAAATACTTTTGATTTGAATAGAATAAATATGGAATGTCGGAGGTCCATATCAACTTACCTTGTGTCTTAAGAACTTGTCCGTAAACTGTTATTTCAACAAAGTGATAGAGCCAAAACTCTAGTACTAGGATGCCTGGACTTGAATCCCATTTATGCCATTTACTAGCGTGTGACTTTGGGCAAGTTATCCTAAACCTCCAATTCCTCATCTTCAAATAGGAATAATAATACTTACCTAAGGTAACAACCTAGGGTTGTTATACATTAGGCATCCTTATACATTGTTATAGGTTGTTATACATTAGGCACCCAGTACAATGTCTAGCTTAATGGGTGCTAAATAAATAATAGTCTTGTTACTATCAGAAATAGGATCGCCAGTGGAATTGAATACGGATAGTACAAAAAGTGTTGGGATTTAAGAGGGAGAAGGAAAGAAACTTGGGAAGCTGGATGGAATAGGAGAACACTGGAGTAACAGTGTTGGTGTAGCTTTTAATCTTGTACTAAGCTTTAATATACAACTAAGGTTCCATTTGAGTTTACTCCGTGTCCCCCTCAGGTTCAAATATGCATGTGTATTTCTGGGAAGGCCTACCAACTTCAGGTTGGACTCTTTTTGACAAAAGTGCAATTCACACAGCTTAAGCACTGAAATGAATTTATTGTTTCATGTAACTACAGTAGAGAAATAACAGTGGCTTCAAGCAGAGCTTGAGCCCATGGCTCTAAAATGTCACCAAGGGCCCAGTTATTTTCATATCTAATTCCAAAAATGACTGCCAGAGGCTCTCCATGGTACTTGGATGTGCCTTCATGTTCAGCAGAAAAGAGGAAGTCTTTATCTGAGCATTCAAGCCAAAGCCCTCACTGTTTCATTCTCATGGTTCCAGGAAATGGCGCATGACTCCAGCAGTCCCAGTGAAAGCTGATACTGGGACATTTGTGTGTCCTTTAATCAATTCACTGTGATTAGGGAGACAGGATATACCATTTGCTTAAACTAATCTGAACCCTCTAGTGAAACTGGAATTAGGGTTAATCTCCTTAAACTACGAGGCTGAAAATAAGGGAGAAAAGTTTTTTTCCAAAGACCTTAGAAGTAGTATTATCATTAAAGAGAGGGAATGGATGCTTGCCAGCAAATAATGGTGCTTGAAGGACCTTGGAAAAGACCTTGTCTTCAATGATGATAGAAATCAGGCTTTAGAGCTTCATCCCAGGACCACACACTGTAGAAGGCAAGGGTGGAGAGCAAGGAGGATATCATTTTGCAGGAGGGGTAGAGGCTCTCCCTTAAGGGATGTTACAATAACCATACCAAAGAAAATCAAGGATCTAAAAGGTCATCCAAATTGCCCTAAAAAGATGAGCTCAAATCCAAAAATTCTGACTTAAAAATAACATGGCCCTGTAGAGTTGCATAAATTGAGGACCCACTTGAAATAACCAAACTTCACAGCCTTTAGAAAACGTTTAAAACAATAAATCCCAAAGTAAATTGATAGGTTCATGTAAGCAATGTACATATAATAGATACAACTACACATAGTATCTTCCAACTGATTGCATCCATGGGATCAAAGACAATAGTGGGATCTCATGAATCCGTAAGCCTCAAAGCTGTTTTTCCATTTAAATGTGTAACTTTTTTTTTTTGTAGTGTATGAACTTCTTATATTTATTTTTAGGCACTCTGCACTGAGCTGCTTGCATCATGTCAATGTTTGCTGTGCTAACTTTACATCTAAAGGTTACTCAACACACTGAGATCTGAAAAAAACACTCATATTTTTACCTCGAAGAAACTGTACTTGGATTCTGCTATATGTTCTAATGGTGTTAAATGTCAAAAAATACTGGAAATACAAGTATTGGGAAATGGGCTGCAACTGCTGTCCTAGATGTCTTGTACAGCTAAAGGGTACGAAGATGCCAGGCGCTGCAGCTCAGGGTCGGCGGTCTGGCAGATTTTGAAGAGGAATCCAAATTGGAAGATAGGAAAATAAGTTAGTGATCGTTTATCAGTGCCTGCAATTCAGTTGGTACTAGTCCTACGCAAAAGAGGCAGGGGCAACTGAGTGAAGACCTGAACAAACAAAGTAACAAAATTTTGAATAGTAACACTGGCTCTTGGTTGAGTGTACCAAGCACTAATTTAATGCTCATGGCAACCCTGGGAAGTGGGGATATTATCTCACTTCTGGCAATGGGACAGGTGCAGTTACTGGCTGCAAGGTAACATGTGCCATTCTCAGAGATGGCACAAGTCAACTCTTACTGGCTTTCTGTTGAGGGAACTTTCAATTCTAACTCGTGGATCAGCAATGAGACCTTCTGTGTCTGTCACTGGTGAAAGAAATCCCCTTAGTCCTCTCT